TTTGGTTCTGTCTTAATCCAAGATATTTCTTTATGTAATTGGCACTGAAACGGTGAAAAGGATTATGGTCTATGTAGTTCCCTGTTTTTGTAGCTTTATCGCTGCGCTATAACTTAGAGACTTCGATATTCGATATATTGTCCTGGTCCACGAAATGATTGTGAGACTTTTGACGATATGATATCACGAAATTTCGATTATTGTTACGTCCCTAGTGTGTTAAAAGCGAAGCAAAACTGGGACTAAACCTGGATCTAAACCTGAACTAGACCAAGACTAAACCAGGACTAGATCATAATGTCTAAATCAGGATTAGAACAGGACCAAGCTGCTTCTAAATCAAGACTAAACCAGGTCAAACCAGAACAAGTGTACACAAATAGCTGAATGAGTTTGTTTGTGTTTTTTGGGACTAAACATGGACTAGATCAAGACTAAACCAGGACCAGATCATGATGACGTGTGATTAAATACTTGTGTGCATTTGTGTGATACAGAAACAGGCGTCTTTAGCTGCAGAGAACAGTGTGATGTGCAGCTTCCTCCACCTAATGGAGAAGAGCTCGGGGCGTGGGTGGCAGAAGGCCTGGTTTGTGATTCCAGAGAATGAACCGCTGGTGCTCTACATCTACGGAGCTCCGCAGGTAACAACTACTGTACATGTAACTCACAATACAGAGGCATAATTCTTCTCTTTTTTAGGTTGAGGTCAGAATTTATTTGTAGAGCATGTTTACAACAATCACAGCTGTCTAAAGTGTTTTACAAATCTTGCTTTTTCAGTGAGGTAATTAAGGTAGTATATAACATGAAAAATAAGTAAAAATCATAATATTAAGCTTGTTTTGATTTTCTTTTACTGCAGCTCCACAATGTTTTTTCCTTCATTTAAAAAAAGAAAAAAAGGTTTGAAACTTTAGAGACATTAAATCAATTCCAAACACTGTAACTGAACTAAAACTAAAACATCTAAACTAATGGAAACTACTCAACACTCACTTATTACACAAAGCTGAACCGATTCTTGTAAACTTTAAGCCATGTTATAATGCTGTTACCTCATCAGAAATAAGTTTGGAGTGTTTTGTTTTATTCACACATGTTTGAGTAATCCCAGAGGCAGTTCTAGGATTTTTCTAAAACAGGGGCTGTTAAGGGATCTCCAAGCACATCCAAACACACAAATGATTAATTCAGAATAGTGTAAATACAAGCATAGACAGTAAAAAAAAAAAAAAAAAAAAAAAAAAAGCTCTCGACAGGTCTGTTTCTTCTCCCATTAAGTTGCATTGACGCAATAGGTCTACTGCCACCAAGAGTCTGAGGGTGGAATTGTCCGGTTCTACGATTCTTCTTCTCGTCAGTTGATTGACAGAACAGGGGGACTTCAGGGGCCAATCAGATTAGAGGTGTGGCCCCTTCCCTAGAACAGGCCCTGAGTATTATTAATGAGTATTATTACCCTGCGTTCAATTATCTTCCGACTCCTACTTGGACCTCAGATTTGATGTCACATTCGAGCTTGAAGCTTATTATTATGTTTTGCTTGTCAAACTCGGAGAGCCTCACCACAACACCGACTACCAAACTCATAGGCAGTGATACGGACATGGTAAGGTTTTAATACGAGAGACTAAAATTGTGCTTTAAAACACCAAAGTCCAAACACAATAGAAACAATTCATATTTACACATCAGAGTGGGCACAGCCATGTTGGATTCTGACTCGGAATCCTTGCTCGATCTTCTTTTTCTGCCACCGAGTTCTGTGTCGCGCCGTCCCAGGAAAAGGGGCGTGTCGCTAGGCAACTTCCTCGGAAAACCGACTCTGAAGGACAATTAAATGTGGGGTTAGTCAAAGCTCAAAATGCTCTATTCCACATGTTACCTTTAATTCAGTAGAGATTGGCAATTCCAGGGCTGAAATTATCCAAATGATTGTAGTGAAGGTGTATGGAGTTTAAAAACACACTGGAGCACTTCCTGTATCACCACATGGCATTAATGTATAAGATGGAACAGACTGTTTTCCATTTGAGAGAAGAACTTAGTCTGAATGTGCAGAGTTTGTGTGTTAAACATGTGTGAATGAAACAAAACACAACTCCAGTTAAGTTTCTGATAACATTATAACATAGATCAGACAATAGCGTAATATAGGCTCTTTAATTAAAACAAAAAAGGCACATTCTGAATTCATTTTAACTCATGTGATGAATTATTTATCAACAAAGCTCAAGCAAATGTAATTCGGTCACAATAAAAGTGGGTCATGTGGAGTTTGAGTGTTTGTCTGCAGCCCCCCGCAGCACATGTGGAGCTCACTGTGCATTGGCCGTGTTTGAATGAGACTGAAGGCTGCAGTGTTTGATGATAAAAGCGTTTCTCTTCAATCAAACAGTGTGAGTGATTGTGCGGCCGTCTCTAAGCAACAGACTCAGAGGTGAATCAGGGGACACTGGGTTTGGAGGAGGAAGAGCTGCTAAAATATGCAAACTCTGTGTTATCCATTCAGGAACAGTCAGGATTTTATTCAGAAACTTTTTTTTGGACACATTAACTCAAAAATATAAAACGTACAACAGTGTCTAACGATCTACTGTACAATATTTAGTCTTCTTTACTCCTTCCCAAAGACTGTTTATATAAATGGACATAGTTAATCTGCTTGCTGCCACGTTCCAAATAGGAAGTGAGCATGAACGCACTTCCGGCTCTATCGACTCTGGCCCCAGTTCACTTTACATTGTAATTGCTGCAGTGAGCCTCGTCATTTTGATCTTAAAATGTTCGTTTTAACCCGCTCTACAAGATCCTAGTGTTTTTATTTCGCTATTTTGTCTGTAAATTAATTCCTATTCTTATATAGACCTGGCTCCAGATTCGCTCCTATAACTGCAAGCTTCGGTGAGCTTCATTTGACGCTATGGGTGATGTCACACTTACTCAGTCCACTGCTTTATATAGTCTATTTTCCTTCCCCCAAACCATAACATACAGTAGGTTGCAGGTTAACATATGGTCTTTGAGTTCTCCCATCATCTTAAGTCATGCTCAGTTGGTTCATTCTCCAACTGGGATCCTGACTCAGATCTTGCCAACTATTCAGATTTGGTCCACTGCCCCTATCAGGTTTAATCCAGCCTGATGGTATTGTATATGATGTTTTATATAACCGCGCATAACTTTCCAGCCATAAAAGATAGAAACTTACCTTTTTTCCATAAAAAGCTGAGAGTTGTGGCTTTCCGAAGCATATTTTCGGCATTATCCTACGTCACACACACACTGCGTGATAATGTAGGGAAAGCAAGTGTCCAATAGGAACATCAAAACTAAACATCAAGTAAATGCGCTCTTTCCATTTTGATTGGATTGGATTGATTTGAGTGTAGTGAGTCAAAATGGTTGACAGCTCTAAGCGTTCGTAACAATCGAAAAAGCTGCTCTAAGTGCATTTATTTCTCAAATAAATGGCAAATTACACATCTTGGTCTGCGAAATTGCACATTATTTGAAAGGTTTATTTCAGTCTGAATGTCCAAACCCAAATGTCATAAACACCATGGAAATTCAGGAAGTGATGTGGCTCTGTGCCCTGGACCTGACACCAGCTGTTTCCATGACTGGCACCAGTGAAGTCATGGTGAAATCATACTTTTGGTTTGGTTTTGAAGCCAGTAAGAATAGTTTTAGTTTACTTACAGACTTGATATTTTGCACTTTTGTAGCTGAGGCCCTAAATTAAGCATATTTTATGTCTGTTTACTGAAAAAACAGCATGTATAACACTTCAGTAGGGGGTAAAAGGGAGAGTTTTAATAGCAAAATTAATGTGAGGACAAATATACTAAAATTACCCTTAGATCTTGTTAACCCATAACACACGAAATACGGGTCAAATGCAAAGACAAATCTCTTTGTTGGAAATAAAGTGATTCTTAAAGTCACTCTATGTAACTTTTTGGTTGGGGGAGTCTGTCAGCTGCTTGTTTCTATGGATATGTCATTGCTCTGCCTGGAATTTTCCACAGTGTGACATTAAACAGCTCTACCTTACATTTATAAAATTACAGGTGATTTTATTGCTCAAAAATATCTAGAAAACAAAGCATTCTGACTGTGAGTGGGGTTGCTGCTACACAGATCTGACCTGTAACTTAGCCTGGTTTTGGTCTTAGTAAAGATAAAAAGGCTGTGAAACATTCCAGTCAAAGCAGTAACATCTCCATGAACAAAAGCATTTGAACCTCTACCAAAAAAGTTACACAATACATTTTTAACTAATTTCCATGTTGTAAAAACCTATTTCTCTACATTCAGTGCGTTTGTTGAATATTCATGTGTGAGCAGTGACCAGGTGGAGCAGGCTGAGCTCTGGTTCTGTGATGTTGTGCCAATGGGCCAGCAGTAGTCCCTTGTTACAGTCAGGTGCTGTGAAGGCAGACATTTTAGGTGAATAATAAGAGAAACTGGTCTTCATCACACAGCATCAGTTGGAGTCAAGATTCTTACTATTTTCTGAATGCCAAAATTGTGTCCATATTTGATGTAGCGATACGCCACTCCGATACTGTTCTCTGATATCAGCGCTGATACTGAAAATATTTGCTGGATCAGATAACGGCTTCCAGATATCAGTTCAGCAGATAACATGATTGGACTTACAAACTGATTTAAGATAACAGACTGACTGTAGTTGGCCCAAAAAGTCTCATAATGTTTAAACTTTTATTTTTTGAGGGAAAATAACTACTAAATCACACATTTCAATCACTGTTTCTTATTTTATTTTAGTTTTAAAGGTGCATTGTGTAACTTTTCTGTTGGAGAGTCTTGTTTCTCTGCGAAGAATGTTCAGCACTACCTTGCATTTATTTAATTACAGGTTGTTTTATAGCTCAAAAATACTAGAAAAACAGACATTCTGATTCATTCGGGTTGCCTTTCCACAGATCTGACCTCTAACTTGGTCTGGTTTAATGCCATACTGTGAAACATTCCAGACAAAGCAATAACCATGAAGAAAAAGCCTCTGACAAACCTTCCACCAGAAAAGCTACACAATTAAGATACCAAGTAGAGTGAAGCAAGAAGGAACTCATGTAAACAGACTAGGGGTGTAACGATATCCAAGTCTCACGAAACGATATTTATTGCGATATGGTGGGACAGTTCACGACATGGTGGGGAGGCTAACGCCACCTAGTGCCTCCTCTCAATTTCCTTTCTCTCCAGCGACTAGGTCAGGAATTGGAATACTCTAGATGATTTGCAAGAACCCCGGAAGTTGTAGACCGCACACCAGTCAATCAGCGAAGAGCCAGACATTCTGTGTTGGCAACGATTCCCGAGATCGAGGATTTAAAGCCAGAACAAAGAGAATATTTGGCGAATTTTATCAAGGGGAAAGACGTTATTGCCCTTCTTCCGATGGGATTTGGGAAAAGCTTAATACCAGTTAGTCCCATTAACGGCGCATTACAAATTTCAGGACCAAATAACAGCGATTGGTTAAATTAAAAAAAGTACCCACCTACCATCAAGCGAACAAATCCTAATGCTGCAAGGTCAGATGGTTTCTACAAAGTGAAACCGGCTGATGAATCAGGCTAGGGAGGCTCACAATTAGGGATGTAACAATATCCAAATCTCTCGTTATGATATTTTCACGATATACATCTCACGCTACGATGTTTATTGCGATATTTTGTGGAGTTTAAACAGCTAAAACTGTTAATATTCTACTTTTTCCTCTTAAAATGCCTTGACAAGACTTAATCCAAAGAACTAAAACTTAAAAGTGCTTAGAACTGTTATTTCTTCATGTAGTCTGCACTGAAATGGAGCAAAGGATCATGGTCTATGTATTTATGCAAAGAGACTTGTAATTCGATATATTGTGATGGTCCACGATGTTATTATGAGACCTTTGGCGATATGATATCACGATATTTCGGTTATTGTTCCAAAAACAGACCTTTTTTTAAATTTTATTTCCATATCTGACGTCTATCCCTTCTCCTTCAGGATGTGAAAGCCCAGCGCAGCCTGCCTCTGATCGGCTTCGAGGTCTCTCTCCCAGAAGCGTGTGACCGTTTGGATCGACGCTTCGCCTTCAAAATCTCCCAGAGCCACCTCACCCTGTACTTCAGCGCCGACGGGGAGGAGCTCCAGCGCAGATGGATGGACGTCCTATCGCGCGCCGGCCGGGGGGAGGAGTTACAGGTGCACCAACCAATCGCAGAGAGCCTGGAGGAGGAGGGGGAGGAGCCAGCCCCACCCGATGGAGACAATACGTGACTCTGATTGGACAATAGTTACGATGAAAACTTGATAGAAAAGGCAATCTCGGCTGTGTGTATAACCGTTGGGGGTTCACTTGCATGATTTACACAATATAACAGCCCAATGTCACTAAAGTGCGCAGGGCTTAAAATATTCTTCCATTTTCAAATATTTACAAAACCGTCCAATCACGAGTCTGATGGAAAAAGGGACTCTAAATACTCCGTTTCCCATGAGCCTCTGCATCATTACAGACACGACCTTTGCCCTAAAGTAGTGACAGATTTTGTAATATAGTCAAAATGTTTCCAAACTTCACTTCACTGTGCCGTAACTGCCCGGCAACCGATGCTTATTGGCTGAAAGGTTTTACACAGAGTAAAATGTTTATTTATTATGACAAAATAGTTATAGGGTGCTTCAAAATAAAAGCACAAATTTAAAAAGCCAAATAGATTTATTGTTAGAATATTCACATGAGATGAGATTTTAACCCAAACCAGAACTGCTGCTGTTTCTGAAAAGGAATGAAGATATGTGAGATTTTTTATCATTTGAAAGCATTTGAAAAAGAAAAAGATTTTCAAAAGAAGAAAAAGACTTGTTGTGCACTTGAGAAAACCAAACCAGTTTCACATGTGTTTGTGGTCCTCTTCCTGCTGTGGCAGCACATGTCACAGAAAAAAACATTTCCCAGAAGTCCCCTTGTTATTCTACTGCTGCTGTGAACTTCAAATCAATCTGAAACCTGTTCCCAAAAGTCTGTCAGTTATATTGATCTGTCAAAATTATTTTCACAAATAAGGGGGAATGTTATGCAATCTGATGGAAAGAAAGGAAGATTTTCCATTGCCCTTTGTTATTCCGAGTTCCCTTCACAACAGTTTACAAACCACACGCTCCTCAGTTGTACAGAAAGTGCTTCCTTACACATGGCTCCTTCAGCACAGGGTCTGATGAAGAGGAAATGAAATGTTTACGTCACATTTATATCAGACAAAACAACACACTGACACAGCTGCCTCAGCTCTCCACTCTGTCCTGGGTCATACACTCTGCCCTGGGGCAGACTGATGGAGACATGGCAGCCAGCCGCCTCTCTGATCTCACACATGTTGTGACAGACCCACTGTTTTCAGAACTAAAGTAAATAATCTTATTTGGCTAATTTGGATTTACTCAATTTAACTGACAAACTATTTAATCAGAAAATGCCAGGTTTCAGACGAGTGTTCTTCTCATAAATGGCAGAAGAGTTTTTGGAAGAGGATCCAAAATTGACTTTGAATAAACATTTGGACAGATCAAAGACTTTTTTTACCATGTCTCTCCACTATCTTCTCTGTCCTCCTTTTGGAAGTGTTTTTCAAGTGAAATCTTGGTATTATTCTTATTGTGGAAGGTGTTTTTGATTCTGGGTTGTTGTTAGTGTTTTCTGCTTGATGCAAGAAGAAGAAACTTAGACTTTTGTAAATAGAATAATTTATTCTGCTGTGGCCGCCTGCTCGGTCATGTGACTGTGTAAAGAAAAGGCTGTTCCTACACTTCCCACGCTTCCCGGGTCTGCACACACTCAGTCCACGCACAGGCGCCCATTTTGGCTCCAACTGGGTCAGAGGAGGAACAGGAACCTAAATTGATGGGGTGTGCTGTTTGTGTTTTAGCCATAGACTGTGTATATAACTGGACATAACCCGCTTTCGGCTCCATCGATCCCGGGTCTAATTCACTTTACAATGAAAAACTGTCAGCCCTCTGTCTGTAACTGCTGCAGTGAGCCTCATCATATTGGTCTTAAAACCCACTCTAGACGATCCTGGTGTTTTTATTTCGCTATTTTGTCCGTCTGTGAGCTTCATTTGGCTGGAGCTGAACGCTGTGGGTGAAGTCACACTCACTTAATCCACTTCTTTATACAGTCTATGGTTTTACCCCAAAAGTCAAACTCCAATGAGACAAAGACTCAAGACTAAAGAGGTGAATGTGGCGCAGTGTGCGATTCTTTTAGTTCCTACATGGTAGAAAAGTTCTGCACAAGTGTAAACCATAGAAGTATACTAAGTTGATATTTTAATAGTTCTATGGCGCAAACTCTTCACCTCAACAGCATTGCAAAAAGTCTATGAGCAGTGGTGGAAAAAGTGTTCAGTTTTGTCACTTATGTAGTATTTAAGTACAGATATTGGAGCAAAAAATACTCAAGTAAAAGTATCACATGAAAAATTAAGTAAAAGTGTTAAAGTTCCTGTTTAAAAATGTACGTAAAGAGTATTTTGCGCAGATTTTGAGATCTAATAATGCTTCAAATGTAGTGATTTTGATACAGATTTGTGCTGAATTTTGTCTTTTTTTTTTTTGTAGCCGTTTTATATCCATATAAAATCCATATAACCATGAACGTATTAAATAAACCCTCAGCCTTTTCAGCAAGTCTCAAACAAAACACAAAAAATATTGTTCAAAAATGTAGTGGAGTAGAAAGTACAGATACCTGCTCTTAAATGTAGTGAAGTAAAAGTAAAAAGTATCTACTGTAAAATCTACTTAAGGAAAGTACTGATACCTAAAATTTAGACAGTATTTTTGTACTTTTACTTTGTTTTGTTCCACCACTGTTTATTGAGACTACTATTTTGAACATTTTGCAGTGTGTCTCCTCTCCTGTGCGCGCGATGGGCAGTCTGTGTGTGACTCTGGTCTCGGTGTGTTCTTAGCGTGTTTATGGCGTGTTTTCTTCATGTTTAAGCCAGTCTTGTCTTGATGGAAGGAAATGGCCAGTAACTCACCTCTCCAGCGCCATCTGCTGTTCCACCACATCAGCACACGCTTAAACCCAGACTCTCAAAGCTGTTCATTGATGCAACTTTAAATATCTCCTGCCAATTTTCCAGCTTTGTCCTAAACAGCTTTTAAAAGTTCATCTGGTGGAAGATTTCTAAATTTTCAAGTAACTTATTTATATGTGTGACAACATTGATTAATTTCTGTTGTGCACTTTTACTTGTGCCCAACATAAACGTAAAGTAAACTAGATGGTAAATATAGGATTGTAAAAATAATGTATATTCCAAAACTTATTTTATCTCTTAAATTTGAGTTTTAACGGAATATTGAGGGATATTGGTCATGCCCTTTTGATAAAGTTTTACATGAAAAGAATACCTCAAAATATGTGTATAAAAATATAAACAGTGATACTTTGCAGCTGGTTTCCTCAACATAACCTGGGGGTGTGACGCTAACTGAATGCACTGCTCTGTCTGAAGCTCTGATACTCAAATTAGACTTTAATCTGAGCTTTGTTTTCACACAGTCTGACCGGAAAGAGCTGACTTAACAGATAAGTTGATTTGTGGTGTCAAACAAGTCTCTCTCACATAAAATTACAGTCACAAGCTAGATAACATTAGGAAACAGTTTTTCAGCTCACTTTTTTGTTGAAAACCAAACACCTAAACAGCACCACAAATGCTCGTAATGATCACAGACTCCTGAAAATGTGCTGCTTAAATGGGGTCAACCCTAAGTTCTCTCATTTCTAAGATTTTGTTCAAATGAAACTCTAATTCAAGTCATTTTTTATTTTTGTTCCACATTTAAAGGGTTGATTCAGAGTCATTTCAACCTAGAGTCTTTTGCACCACGACCTCTACATTACATCTGTAGTCAACTGCTGCTGGAGAATAGGTTGGGTGTAATTGACGACCAAATTGGGAGAAACAGGATTAAAATCTGATGCAAATTGGCCTGATTCATCAGCCTGTTTCAATTCATGGAAACCGTCTGACTTTACAGCAGTAGGATTCGTTCACTGTTTTAAAACTTTAACCAATCCCTGCTATTTGGTCGTGACTTATGTAATGCACCGCTCGCTGATATATTAAGCTTTTCCCAAATCCCGTAGGAAGAAGGACAATAACGTCTTTCCCCTTGATAAAATTGTCTTTGTTCTGGCTTTAAATCCTCGATCTCAGGACTCATTGCCAACACAGAATATATGATTCTTCGCTGATTGGCTGGTGCCTGAACTCGCACTTCCAGGGTTTTCGCGAACCGTCTAGTGTATTCTGATAGTCGCTGGAGAGAAATGAAATTGAGCGGAGGCACTAGGTGGGGCCAGTCTGGCTAGGAACATAGGGCCTAATTTTAGAAAGAAAAAGAAAAGAAAAATACCTTAGAAATGACAGAACATAAGGCTGTGGCACGCTCCCATTTAAATCCATTTTGTATCTTTTTTTGAGTTTTCTTAAATACTTTTCTGCCAGTATTTGCTAATGTGTGCATTGTGTCTCCACGGTAATATTCGCCCATCAGAGATACATGTAGAACACCCCCAGTTACTGCAAAGTATCAATTTGATTTGAAGAGCCAATTGTTATTTTATCTGCAAAACTCCTTTAACGAAACGCTATTTGACCATGACCAGTATTACTGAACTGAGATTGCTTCTTTATACAGATTTTTCTGGAAAGGTTAAAGGTGCACTGCGTAACTTTTCTGGTGGAGGGCCGGTCACCTGCTTCTATCCATGGAAACATTGCTGAGAATGTTCCACAGTATGGCATTACACTTATTTATCTCTACATAGATACCACACAGAGCCCACTCACAGTAAGAATACAAGTTTTTAGGTCAATTAAAACCCATGTTATTGAGTAAATGCAAGATGGGACATTCCAGACCAAACAATAACATCTCTATGGAGACGAGCAGGACCAGAGAAGTTACACAGTGCACCTTTAACGCTTACATTTTGGTGCTATGGCAGTCATCTTGTTATTCCTTTGCTTCATTCATTCACTTAAACATTCTAATTTTCTCTGCAGCTTATATTTGGGAGCAATTTAAATACACAAAGAGCTACACATTCTGGTGCTAGGAGACAAGATAGAAAATAGCACAATTTTGCCACAACTTTCTTTTGTAATAGACCCAAAAGATGTTACATTTTTCAATCAAAACTCTGCATAAAATGATGGTCCGTTCATATTTTTTGCCTTATATTCAGTCTTGTGCCAAAACCACAGAGCGATTGACATTTCAGTGTTTGTATTTGTTTGTTTTTATTTTTATTTTGATGTTGCCCCTTTATGTTATTGTACACATCTTTGAGTTCTTCCTTTATTTGTGTGTTCTTGGAGGCAGTTTTAACTTTCAATCGGTGGTGGAATTGTCTGGAAATGATGCTTAAAGGTGCACTGAGTAACTTTTCTAGTGGACGATCCGCAACTATAGCTTGTCTCCATGGAGATTTTAGTCCTTTGACATCACCAGGGTATGTTACAGGTCAGATCTGTGGAGAGCCGACCCTGCTCATGGTGAGATTGTCAGATTTTTTAGGTAGTTTTGAGCCATAAAACGCAACTAATTCAATAAATGCAAGATAGATAAATTTAACATCATACTGTGAAACTATCCAGGCAAAGCAATCTCCATGGAAACAAAAAGGTTACACAGTGCGCCTTTAATGCATTTTATATCCAAAAATGTGGAAATAAAATTTCATCTGTATTTGAGGAGAGCTTTTATTGTGAAAATCTTGCCCAAGGTTGTTCCCATGCGCGGTCCTCTCCGCACTCACTCACTTTTTCATTCATTTGATTCGAAACCACCTGTCGCTATAGCAACCGTTGCCGTCTCCCGCCATCTCCATGGCAACCTCCTCACACCGAAGGCTTCTGTAACCGTGGCGACCGTCGCAAGCAAGCGCCACTTCCTGTTTCTGTCTGTCTCCAGTGAACAGCCTCAGCACTTCCTCCTCATGGACTGTACATATTATTATTATTATTATTATTATTATTATTATTATTATTATTATTAAGGAGTAATATGAATGATTATTGATGATTTTTTTTTTTTGTTTGTTTGGGGTTTTTTTTTTTTTTTTGTTACCGCAGGTTTCGGTTAGTGGCCGGCCACTGCCTTCCTCCTGTTACTGTCTGTTACCCACAATGCACCTCTGTATGAAAAATAGAGTGACAAATGTTTATGAGGTACAAGTCAATAAAGCATCAAAACGATTCAGCTGCTTGTTTTTTATTTTTAATTATTTGTCATTTTTATCTGGCCTATAGTATAATTCTCTATTTTTATACCATATAAGTTTGTAGTTCTAGTTTTTACACCTGGTTTTGATTCAAGTTTAGACCTGATTTTGTCCCGGGTTAGTTTAAAGTCTGATTTTTTTTAATTTAGAAAGACACTTAAAGGTG